CAACATTTTATTTCAGAGTGGGTAGAGAAGACGTAAACTGTGATGATGGCACTAGAACTGCGTCTCAGTCAAATGCACGCGCAGACTTGGACAGAAGAGCTTTGACAGCCACATCGCTGTGTGCACCTCGGCACAGCTGCTGCCATGCGCTGGACTAATGGCAAACGCTCTTCATTGGTATTTGAACGGAACTAAAGCAACAGATAGTGACGTGTGGCTTCTTTTCACCATGTCTTCCTCCTTCCAGATGTCAAGCTTTGATGTGGGGGCTGCCACCAGGAAATGCCAGGCCTCATATCCCACCCAGTGACGTGCCCCTCTGCTCTGGCATCGTGACACGCTGGCTCACACTGAACACATGCTTCGGCGGGCTCTCCATACTTCACACTTTGCCTGGAGCCTCCCTGCCAACAAACTGTTGTCAGGAGGAGGAACAGGCTAGCAACTTCCTAAATTCCCAGGATGTGGCCTCCAGGTCTCCCATTATCTTCCTGCCCCCATCCACCATCAGCATGGCTGTGGGCACATGGGCAACAGCTTGTGTGTTACCCACAGATGTTCTGCTTACCCCCTGGGAAGGAGTGGACCAGGGAGGAGAGCGGAGGGGCCCGGAAAGAAGTGTGCTTCCCAAATGCAGGCCTCTAACTAAATGCTGGAGAGCTCACTGAGGACAGCCGAAGATGGCCGAGCGGTCTGCTCCCGCACAGGTAGCTCTGTGTGAGGTGGTCTGCAGCTGCCCACTCGCACAGTTCAGGGGAAGCACATGGGCTCACAGTGGGAGGTACCAAGCCATGTGCGCAGCTGTCATGGGACAGCGAGCCAAAGGAAGAGGTCAGAGGTGCTGCGCACAAAAAAGGCTGTTAGCACTTTGGTTCACATTAGGAGAATCTCTCTGGCCCAGTGGCAAAGTCCATGGTTTCTGTCAGGCACACGTGCTCACAGTGAAAAGCTCAGCTTGAAAAACAAAAGTCAGATTCACATGTCCGGATACAATGTTTCTGAAGATTAATGTCTATTACATCTGTGAGCTGCATGAGAGGCCTGGCCCTGACTTCTTACATCAGGGCCCAAAAGTGTCCACTGGGCTTGAGGTCCCGCTGGTCAGCGTTTGGGAATTCAGTCCATTTATCTTCACTGCCCAGAGGAAGCTCCCCTGAGGAGCTGATGAGCGCCTGCCTCCAACATGGAGACTCGACCCATCTTTCTCAAGGGACTAAAGGCCGTACGTACTGTATTAAAACCTCTAAACCTCTGATACAGTCTGCACTTCCAGTAAAACTACGTTTCAATTCCCCTCATGTTTGTCTTGCATTATTTCTCTAACTTAAAAATTTTTTTTTTTTTTATCCTTAACTGAGGACATTTTTGCATTTATCTTCAGATAGAGTGGGAGGAAGAGAGGGTGGAAGAGAGAGAGAGAAACATCGATGTGAGAGAGACACACGGCATGGTTGCCACCCACATGACCCCAATCAGGGCTGGGACGAACCATAACCAAGGGACATGCCCTTAGCGGGAACTGAACCCGGGCTTCTCTGGTCCGCGGGCCGATGCTCTAACCGCTGCGCCAAACCGGCCAGGGCTCTAACTTTTAACAGTGCATTTGCACGTGTATTTATCAGCTACGTCAAACTGGCCACAAACCATTAACACAAATAAATACTCATGACAGATTATCTTCCGTTCAAGGACACAATTTGTGAAATGAGGCGGGCGATCTGAAAGTATTAGAACCCTAACTCCTACCCCCAGTTTTTAACCAGGGTCTTAAATTGCGAATTCCTTTTTCAGGTCATTGTTTCCTTTCACAGGAATTACTTGTGGTTGGGGGTCCTCTACCCTCTATGTCGATTCCTCACACACCCATAGCCCACCTCTCTCGACTGAAAACAAGAGAGTGTGCCGTGACTGTGGGCAGCTACATGGCAGCCAGGACCCAAAGCAACAGCAGACCAACCATCACGAGCCACATAGCGTGTGTCCCACACAGCAGTGAGTGTGTGCATCACTGTGGCTAATATTTGACTTCCTTAGAAATTTCCTTACGTCAAAAAGAAAGATCAGGGCGTTAAATCTATGATGATGGAAGGAGACTTGACTTTGGCTGGTGAGCACACAATGCAATATACAGATGATATATTATAGAATTGTACACCTGAAACTTATATAATCTTATTAACCAAAATCACCCCAATACATTCAATAAAATAAAAAAGAGAAAGAACTGCTAGGCATTGTTTTATCACTTGGTATCAAATTTCCTAAACATTGTTTTGATTTTTGATATTGTTGATTCCACACACCTGCCTCAAATTATGTTTTGCATGTTCAAATAAATAGAAACTTCAACATGCTAAATAACACCTTTTACTTGGCTATGAACTGATTTGATATATCAATAAAATAAAATTGTAGCCCTAATGGAAATACATTCATTGAAAACCTCATCTTTAATAGACCGAAGGTAAGGGCAGTGTTATTAAAACCCCACTGAGGCTGCCATTCCTGATATATGGAGGGGCCTGCCAGCCCTGTGTCTCAGCAGAGGTCAAGGTCACACTTGTGGAGGCGTACAGGTGTCTATGTGCAGGAAGTCTTTTGAACCAGAACAAACAAAGCAGGTGTAACTGGACTCGCAGTGGGAAAGCGCAGCAGTCCACAGGTGCTGAGGGACAAGCACCCCCATAGGGGCTCGTCTTCAGGGTCAGAAATTCAAATGCCACCCCTAAGTCGCAGATTACTGACAGCGTATAGACTCCTCGAGGGGACCCTGAGAAGAGTCTCTCTGACCTGACTGAGGCTCTCTCATCCAAACGCAGGAGGCAGCTGTGCAGGGTGTCTGGCCACCGGGTGGGGGCTGGCCCAGCGTCTGCACTGGGATCAGCTGCTCACGGCTTGCCACACATTCCAACTCCCAACCCACTGCTCCCATTCAAACACTAGCAATTCCAGTAATTGCACGCAATGCGACTCATGGTAAAATTATAACATTAACAAAATTAAGTTAAAAAATTTGTTGAAAGATTTCCAATTAGGATGTTTCTGTGAATCCTCCCTAAAATTCCATCTGCTTAGTTCCTGCTGCAGGATTCAAGGCGTTCTGTGCCCACGTCAGCATCCTGGCTCAAGGCCACCCCCGAATCACACTGAAGCAAGTCCAGGCACCTCCTCAGCAGGGAGAGGTCTCGGAGGCAGGTGCGTGTCCCGCAGGGCACATCCTCAGGCGCAAAGTGCACCTTGGCAGGGACCCAAGTGTCTGAAATAATTCTTTGGAAATATCATGATTTTTCCTGCAAAACCGGGGTTATAAAATATCTAGCTGACAATTAAAGCTTTTTAACTAAATTTAATCATTTTATTAACAGTACGATAAATAACTATTGACCAATCAAGAGATGGTCATAGGAAAATCATATTTCACTCATGGTTTGCTAACCTGTTTTCCAGTGAAAATAGAAACAATGTGGTTTTTCTAAAACTTTTAGATTAAAATTTATATAAATATTCCATAAAATAGCGTAAATTATTTAAACCATTTAAATTACATAGTTCAATAACTGACTCTTTAATACAGTAACAATACTAATATAATAAATTAAATTAAATATTTTAAATCACAAAAAGAAAAGGACTTGCTATTCCTTTGGTGTGCACATAACAGAAATCTGACAACCACTCCATCATGGATGCTCCTGAAACACTCCCTGCCTCCCTAGATGCTAGTATGGGCATTTAGGGAGCAACTTGTAATTTTTCCCTTGTTTTACTAGAGGACATTCAAAGCAATTGCTTGGTTCCACCATAAATGAATGTTCAGAAGAAAGGGATGTAGAGCAGACAGTGAAGGAAGGTCACCTGGTGCTGTGGGCACACCTGCTCTGGCACCTGAGCGTGGATTCCGTGGCCTGGTTTCTGACGGTTTGTCAGGCTCAGTGACCTTGGTCCCTGCAACCCAATTTGTGAAAATTAGCTGACAGTGTCCTACAGTCTATACCTACTTTGCTCGTCACCACGGAAACATCCACTGGCAGGGAAGGCGCTCTGGTGGCAGGGAAGAGCCTCCTCACGGATAAACGAATCTGAAGACCACCTTCTCCGTGATACTCACTCGGCTCAGGTGTGCACACTGGAATTCTGCTGTGATGCGGCTTTGACAGTTACCCCGCCACCTGATCCTCCAGATGTCCACACCCATCTCGCTGACCAACCTAACCCCGTATTTACGAGGTAACATAATCCTGTGAAGCCCAGACTCTCCTCAGGCCATCAGTCCTCTTTCCCTCCCCAGCAACCTCCCGCTGCAGCTGCCCAGGTCCAGGCTTTGGTTCTTGTCCCAGGACAAACTGCTCCATTATGGAAACCATGTTCTAGCAGAAAGATCTGAAGGTCACACTTGGATTTACCATCTGTGATTTATCGCCCTGCCCTGCAGCTAGCGGCATGAGAAAAGGGGAGGGAGAAAGAAATCTTGGTGACAGCGTGGGAGGTGTCAGTGAGTTGTCCCGTGCACAGGCAAAATGAGTTTCAGGCTGGTCTTAATTTCTATCATTTTACGAAATGCCACAGATTCTGCCCCATGAATCAGTGAGAACGGCTGATGTTTTGAGAACCTGTGCAAGAAACCAATGACTGCCCGGCCGGTGTGGCTCAGTGGTTGAGCGTCAACCCATGCACCAAGAGGTCACCAGTTCGATTCCCGGTGAGGGCGCATGCCCTGGTCGTGGGCCCAATCCCCAGTGGGGGGCATGCAGGAGACAGCCAATCAATGTTCTCTCTCATTGATGTTTCTCTCTCTCTCTCTCTCCCTCTCGCTTCTTTTCTCTCTAAAATAAAAATGAGAGAAAAAAAAAAAAAGGAGACCAATGACCAATGACTGAGTTCATGTCAGAGGGGGAAAAAGCTGAACACTCATTGTTCTCCAAGAACACCTGCCCAGTCACTTCATCATGGGAGCTGTGTCCCTGAGCCACCAGACAGACATGTGGAACACGCAGCATTACCTTCTGTGTCTTGCGTATTTGCCACTGACATGACCGCTGCCATCACAGCCAGGAGTGGGACAGCTGCAAGAGGAAAGAGTACATTACACGGTGCTGCGTGCCAAGGACCACTGAGACCGAGAACTTCAGTGACAGCACAGAGGAGGAGGGCCACACAGACGGACAGAGACAAACTCAAAACCTGGGAGGGAAGGTTAGGGAGGCTTTTTGTTAGTGAGTCTCGGGGGAGGTGATTTCATCATGCAGCGGGCCCTTAGCAAGACACCATGAACTCAAAAGTACACTCTATCCATGAAAAGGTATGGATTTTCCAAAAGGCATGGGGGACATGTTTACCAAGAGCACTAACCTGAACAGCTCTTGTATGGCTGGTTCCACGGGAACTGTGGAGAGAGGGAAACAGATAACAATGCATCATCTACCACAAGCACCCTCTTCCACAGAAAGTCCCGAGGGTGGTGTCAAGGCAGCAGTCAGAAGGAATCGAGCAAATAGCTTCTGCAGCATGAAGGTGACCCCAGGTGGGGCCTTCAAGGACTCGGAAGTGTGGACGTACCTCGAACCCCTTTGGACCGTGTGCGATGACGTTTCTCCTCGGCGTCCACCTCCATCTGGGGATAGATTAGCAGGCGGTCAGTGTCCTTCTGCACGCTGAGGCTAGCAGGGCACGAGCTGTGCCCTTGCATTTTAGGGACAGAGTTGTAACCCTGTTTCCCTCTGTGCAGGGACAGCATTAGGCGGTGCAAACGTGTTAGAAATAACAGGCCAGACCTGGCCCTTGCAGGGAGTCAGGAGGTTGAGCCTCTGCGATGAGCCTCGAGTGGAACCTGTCTGCTCTCTGAAAGGGCTGACCAGGGCATGTCTGGGTTGATTCAAGTTGGACTTGGTACCAAGAATGTGCCAGAAGGTGCAAGTGTGCACCTGTGCATGCCTGGACTCTCCTTGTGCACAGGGAGGTGAGCTCTACTCAGGAGTGGGCGTCACAGGGCTGCACTGTGTCTGGGGGACCCCCACTGCCACTGGGTTCCTGGGGTATCATCCACACTGAGCTTTTCAGGGACACGGGCCCTTTGCTCACGGTAACCCACACATCTTACACTTTGGAGACTGCGGCCCTCACAACATTGTAAGGAAGGTACCTTTATTACATCTTCCCTAGACCTGACTTGCCCATGATCACTGAGCAGAAGGCCAGGTGCAGGGCCCTGAAACCAAGCCCCTGCCTCTCCATGTCACCTCTGAGCCAGAAACACACTGCTGGATGGGTGACTATGGGTGGTGCTCTGTGCACACAATGTCTCCACAACGGGAGAGTAATCTGCAATGGCATCTGCACAACAGGAGGCCCACACAGCGAGGCCGATGGAAGCAGTGCAGGTGAGAGGGCAGCCCAACTGCAGGGACAGGGCCTCTCACCCCCGTGACCTCTGTGCCCTGTCCGAGGGGCCAGCGCTGCACAAGACGTGACTCCCTCCACTGTCCGTGACAGCCAAGGCCATACAGGATGAAGACACCCCGTCAGATGCGTGGGTTCTGCTGGGGGGCAGACTGAACAGAATGGGCAGGCTCCCCACACGGGACATGGGGCATCGCAGCCTCACGCAGCGGCTCCCGAGGCACCGCTCACCTCAACTGACCATGAAATACTCATTAACGTTATGTGCCAGGCACGGCATCAGGAAATAAGAAATACACGCAATAAACAAAAGAAGCTCATGTAATGGTCTTAAGACCTTCCATGGAAGACACACGTGTTCAGATTTAAGACAGAGTCAATGAAAGAAGAATTTCAGAAGAGGAGCCAGTGTGAAGCAGGGCTCTGAGGGGAGGCTTCCCAGGGGAAGCTGCGATGCTCAAGGGTCTGCAGCTGTGGGAGGGTGGGAGGGAGGCGAACCCAAGCTTATGTAGGGGTCCTGGAAACAGCTGTTGGATGGGTGAGGCCATCTGCTGGGACAATGGCAGGTCAAGGAGATGGCAGGAGGCAGATGGGTCTGAGAAGATGGGGGTGGCAGAGCAGAGAGGGCTGGGGTGGAGGTGCAGGATCAGAGGGAGGGGTGCAGCCAACCCAGCGGCAGCTCCATAGCTATTGTCACCTCTGAGCACGGTGGCGGTGGGGGGCCTCAAAAGCATATTTAGAAAGTGACTCCTGAGCAGTCTGAGTGAGCGCAGAGGGAGCAGGAGTAGGGTCAGGAGAGCCACGAGGAGGTGACAGCCACCTAACAAGGCAGGGCCACCACAGCGCCTGGAATGCATGGCCGCCCAGGGAAGTGAGAGGCACAGGAAGAAGGACATGGACGGAGAAAACCCTGAGGACAATCCACACGAGGCTGTGCCACAGTCCCTTCTGTCTCTTGAGCTCATGCACGAGCTCTGGGACCCTCAGCAAGGCTCACAAGGACCCGCAGGGTGTCAGTGCACCTCTGGGTGATATCAGTGCTCTACACTGCTCCTCCACACACAGAACCCCCAACACTGTGCCACCACAGCAAAGCCTACAGGGCCAACAGGAGCGAGGCGAGCACCAGGGAAGGCGGGAGGCCGCAGGGATCCCCCATGGGGATAGCGCGCTCAGAGACACGGGTGGGTACCATCTCTTTCTCAGGGGACGCGGAACTGAGCAGCACTCTGTGTCCGGGCATGGGCTGAGACGTGTTCCCAAGGCGGATGCATAGCAGGAAGGCCGCATCGACGATTCAGGGGAGTGCACACAGGCTTCTTGGGGGGGGGGGGGTGAAACCAGAGCTGGGTGCCAAAGCTTCATTGCAGGCTGCCAGTTTTGCAAGTGTGGTGGTGGTGGGGGGGTGTTCCGGGCAAAGGGAAGGGCACAGAGACCCTGAGGCTCGCAGGCACTGAGCTGGTGCCAGGGCCCTGGAGGGGCTGAGCCCAGGGCTCTCGGGGGGCCTTTCTTCAGTGGGACCAGGCTGCTCACCCTTCCTAGGAGGGACAGAGGCGGTCTGCACAACCAGCCCCTCACTCACGCTCAGGCACGGCGCCTGACAACAAGCCTGTGTTGTGACCCCTGGCTGCAGCTCAGGGGCGAGCACGGTACCCCCAACACGGGTGAGGCTGGCTCTTCTCTGTGGGCACTACTCTGAAACACTTGGCCTCATTAGCTGTCTGCTCATATGATTGCATGAGAACTGCTTTACCTTTTACTTTTAAGATGTTAACCCACTGTTTCTATATACAGGGGGACAAGCTTGTTTTCTTCCAGATGGACAGTTGGTTCTGCCATTAACCACTTGTTAAAGAAACAATCCATTCCCCACTAATCCAAGAGAGACCTCTTGCTGTATGTTAAGTTCCCACCACCATGGGGCCAATTTGGGGGCCGCTCTGCTGCCCTCAATGATCTGTCCCATCGCTCAGCCCGCTGAATTTTAGGGCTCTGTAACAGGCCAGTCAGCCTCCTCACCATGAGGGTTTCAGGAGAGAACGTGTGAGAAGCATCTGCACAGCGCCCGCCACAGCAGACTGAGCAATGGCTCTCCCTCCACAGCTAAGGACACGGTGCAATGAAGTATCGAAACGGATTTAAATGTTGCTTCTATACAGACTTTCGACATGCACACACTGCCGGCAAGGTTCAGATTAAGCGGAAAGCATGCAGTTCGTAGTTCAAAAGCAGAGGCAGGTTTTCACCTTCCAATGTTCACATCTGCAAGTGCCAAGTCAGAGCCCAGGGACGTTGAGGGGTGTTGTCACAGGTCTGCTTCCTCAGGAACCCCTGCCCCGCCCGCCACAGGTAGAAGCACCTGGGGGACTGTGTCTGAGGGGTCTCTTCTCATGGTCCCGAGGCCAGGCCACAGGAACCGTGTGTGCTGAGCTCACGGGAGCAGCCTTGCTCTAGCTCGGTTCTCACCATCTCTGGAACGGAGGACATCGCCCGTGACCACTGCCCGTTTCTGATTGTCTCTAGTAACTCACTAGATCTTTAGATACATCGTCCTTAAAGTGCTCTTTTATTTTTAAGTGCAGTGCTTATTTTTATAAGGATAGGTTTGTGGGAACTTTAAGTGATGTTATACTTGAAATAAAGTCTTGAATTTAAAAAATTTACTTTTGAATCAAGAAAAGCTCAGAGTGACCAGAAGAGACCGAAGAGAGGTACTTTGTGGATATCAACTCTGCCCTGGGAGTCAGATGCACTTCATGGCTTTCGTCTTCCCTCTGTCCTTCTCCCCGGTACACATGCACTGTCCTCAGGCCAAGTGCAGACACCTGTCAACTACCCACACTCAGCACCAGGAGCTTCCTTCAGGGCACTGCGGGCTCTCCAGGCACCAGGGCGACCCCAGGGAGGGGCAGGAGCCCACCTTCTTCCTGCCTTCCTTTCACAGGGACCCACAGGGACAGGCAGGTGGGACAGCTGGGTCCCGTCTCCGAGGGGGACCTCTCTGACCTGTCCAGAGCCTGAGCGCCATCCTTCCTGCCAGCAGCCACTCTCAATGACCCATGAGGCAGTCACCCATCTGCCAGCTGGCCAGGGTGACTCTTTCCCCTCCTGAGGCTCCGCCTTTGGCCATGTCATTGCTCATGGGCACCAGAAAGAGCAGGCTGCAGGGGGCAGAGCTGGCATTCAGTGTGCCAAGCTGTGTGATGGGAGCAAGTCTGGGGAGAGGAGTAACAAAGGGAACCGATAAGCTCCTGGCAAAATACAGTGCGCAGATCAAGCCACACACAGATGCCCATGCGCCTTCATTCCACTGCATTACTGTCTCCTGGGTGACGGAGACCTGGCCCTACCCTCAGGACAGCAGCACCACCTGTGACGGTCAGCGAGAACCAGAAATTCTGTACTGTAGTCGTCCTTGAATAGGGTTTAGAAAAGGTTCTATGACAAAAATTATTTTCTAAAATATGACAAAATTTTGTTTTAGTGAAATTAATGTAGTGGGAATGTTAAAATGTAGGCATTCTGTCCCTATTTACGTTAAGTGAAAGGACAGCTGTTAAGAGGCTGCAAAGTCAGGGGAGAGGAGTGAGTTTGCAGCTCATGGATCATGGTTTATAATTTTCAGTTTTAGTTATCTGACCTCACAGGATAAAAATAAGGAGAAATTCGGCAAATAAAACAGGAACAAAGCCTTGGTTTGTCTGTGCCTTCTTTTCCTTTGCCCTCCTCCATTTCCTGGGCAGGGAGGATGGTAGCAGTGATGTGGTCCTCTTCACCCCAATCCCTGCACTGCATGGGGAGGGGCAGGTCAGTGACAACAGAGTCAAGAGTGACTGAAAGAACAGAAATTCTGGGCAAAAAAAGAAAATGAACACGTAGTTGATGCCCACCTCCTCCTGTGCCTGAGGAGCAGAGTGCACCCTCTGCCAGGGTTTTGAGTCCCTTCCCACCAGGGCTGGTCTGGTGCGACCATCACCCCTGGCCCACAGGCTTGAGGGCTTGCTCCTGCCTCCCCCCCTCCCCTCATGTGCTTCTGCTCCTCTCACCTGGCCCCTCTGCTTCCACCCGAGTGACTGCCGCATCTCTCCTCCAACAGCGTCTGCACCCACCACCCTTCTCCCAGGCACTTCGCACCCTACTGGTTGCCACTTCTAAAATCTATTTTGGAGGCCATGGTGACCTTTTCCCTAAACCCCAAAGCTTCATCAATCCCCACCCTCAGGAAAGCACTCGATGCCTGGCCCGTTTTCCTGGCTCCTGGGCTACATCTGAGTTATGTCCCAGGCCCACACGCACTCAGAAGCGTCTCTCCTGCTCCTAGGTGGGCTCGAACCAGAGTCTGTGACAACTGCTCACTGGATCTCGGCCACACGCCTCCAGCTGCCTCCAAAGGGCCCCCACCTCACACCGTTTGCGGAAAACCACACTCACAGAGCTTCCTTCCGGCGCAGTGGCCCCCAGAGCACGGTGTCCTCTCACTGCTCTGGCCGCTGCCCGCATTCACACCGGCTCTGCCATGGCCACAGTTCTGCCCCGTCCTGTGACCTGTGGCAGAGTCGGTGACTCTGGCACCAGCCCAGCCTTTCTCCATGGTTTCTGCCGAATAACGGAAGTGATCCTTCTTTCAGTCTGGGACCCGAGTCTCCTTTGGCTCCTCTGTCGAACGACCTGTCGCATTCTGGCTCTGCGGCTGTCGTCTCCTGCGGCCACCACGCTCCATCTCCCCGCACACCACTGAGCTTGGGCCACACCTGTCAGGACCAGTCCCGCGACAGTCTTGGGTGCTTGTACCCACTATCTGCTTCCTTGTCAACCCACCACATTTACAGCTGTGATGTTAGCTGTCCATGTCCATCATGGGAGAATCCAGAATGGATCCCTGTGGGCCAGTTCAAGTCCAGCCACAGTGTCGTCTGCCTTTCCTTCCGAAAGTGCACACGGGACATGCCAGCTGTGCACTGTGGGGCGGAGCAGTCACCTTCCGTTCTCTTGTTGCAGCCATCCTCCTGGTCCGGAGGGACAGCGGGCCACGATCCCTATGGATGCACACTGTCTAGAGGCAGGTTCGTCCAGAAGGAGAGCGGGCCGTGCTCCCAGAATGATGAGTCCAGGAGCCGCTCTCCCTGTGAATGCACTGTCTACAGAGGCAGGCCCACTGCAAAGCTTTTCTGAGTTGCTATTTTTCACATACCAAAATCACAGCTATCTCTCCAGTGTCTATGGATTAAGCTCATTTTTTGAATGGATACATAACATTCCCCATAATGCATATATTGTAATTTATCCAACCACTCCTGTAAATTCCCCTTACAAATGAATATTTAGGTCACTTTATTTCATTTATTTGCTTTACTCCACTATAAAAAGGTACAATAAATATCATACACACATTGCACGTATTTCTATAATATGATTTTCTAAAATGATACTGTCACGGCTGTTAGAATGCGTAAAAATACGTGATGCTTTAGTACTATATGATTATACCCATTTCCCAAGTGCCATCAGCCTTGGATGCCACAGGTATTTGACTTCGTGAGTGACACGGCACACACAGCCTCACTGCTTCGTCTCTGCCCAGAGCACGAGGGAGATTAAGCATTTCTTCTGTTCGGCCTCTGGCATTTCCTCTGCTATGCAGTTACTATTTTCACCCTTTGCTTATTTCTCTTCTTTTTAAAAATTACACATCAGCCTGACTGGTGTGGCTTAGTGGCTGAGCATCAACCCCTGCACCAAAAGGCTGCTGGTTCAATTCCTGGTCCAGGGCACATGCCCAGGTTGTGGGCATGATCCCCAGTGGGGTGCATGCAGGAGGCGGCCAATCAATGTTCTCTCTCATCTACTTTTCTATCTCTCCCTCTCCCTTACTCTCTCTGGAATCAATAAAAAAAATGTTTTTTTAAATTCCATATCAATTTGTAATAGCTCTTTGCATATTAAGGTATTAACCCCTTTGCCCATCTTATCTGTTCCAAGTATTTTCTTCTAGCTTTTTTCTTTTACTTTGCTGGTGGGAATTCCCCCACATACAGGTAAACAATACAGGTCAGCCAATAACCAGTCCTGGCCTTGGCAGGCACGTCCGCTCTGGCTGGCCGAGTCTGCTCCCCCAGTGCCGTTTGCGCCCGGGGCAGCCCACAGCGAGGGTGCCTCCTCGACTCTCAGCTGCCCCAGCAGACCTGGCCCTCAGTGGAAGAGAAGGGGAGAGGACGGCCTGAAGCAAGTGCACACCCTGCCCGGCAGAGCACAGAGGCTGCGGAGGTGGTCAGCTGTTTGCGTTCCCACCTCAACTGCTCCTGAACTGCAATTCTGATGCAGTGGTTGGCACAGAAAATAAAATTCAAACATTAAATATGCTTTGATATAGAAAAGTATTAATGGAACTAGACATTTATATCAATATTTAAATTATCTTTGTGATTGTCTAGTTTATATATATATATATGTTTTTAATTCACGTCCCTATTTTTTAAGGGGCAGACAATATAACAAGAATAAAGAACAGAAATCACAGAAGCTCATGTCTACAAGCAACAGAAGTGTAATCTGTGAACTATGCTTGTGTTCATAGGAGACATGGAAATGTCTGGGAGTAAATGGGCAACATACACGGATTTTAGCGAGAAAGGGTTGGGCTTGGAATCCAAGCGAAGTGTACTTCTGTCCACGTGCCCCTCACCCTGTGAGTTGCACTCTCATCCACGTGCAAAGCATCCAGAAAGAAGGTTTTCCGTGCTTACTGGGGGGCGGGGGCAGAGGGATGTGGACGCACACAGGTCTAAAAGAACCTGGTGAATTAAGCTGCCCTGAGTGGGGGTCAGTGCCCTGGCTGCAGGGCCCGTGTGGCCTTCCCTCACTTCATGGAGTTTCAGAGGGCAGAGCTGACATAGGTCGCACTGCGGAGGAAGAGGATCCAAAGGACTAGAAGAGAACCTGAAAAATCTGTGGGTGATGGAAGGCAAAAGAGGAGAGAGTTGCTGAAGAGCGGCAGGGGAAGGAAGCATACAGCTGGGACGACAGGGCTTTGAAGGGGACACTAAATGTGATCTGGCCTCACTGGGAGTGACCAAGCCTATGCAGGTGAAACTGTCCTGGGGGGGGGCCCATCCATCAGATGGGGGGATGTGGGACTTAATGATGCTCAAACCCCTTCTGCCCTTACTCTGACTGAATTTGGGGTTCATAAATGAGATCAAAGGGGAATTTTGGAGAGAAGTTTCAGGAGGAAGGTAGGACCACAGCCACACCTCCATAGACTCTGCAATGGATGGGTCATGAGGAAAGAACTGCCCAGGACTGGCGGCCTCAAAGGGGCAGAGACAGTTAAGAGCTTAAGTGGGGGTGTCCAAGAAAGAAAACTGTTCTCTCTTCTTTTTAAACCCCAGGAAAAGGTCGATGTGCCCCAGAGAGGAAAAGATGACAGACATGAAAAGGCAGCGGGGAGTGGTGAGGGGACCTCGCAGAGGACAAGCAGAGACGCTTGAAGTGAGATGGAAGGAAGAGAAGGTGAAGATGCAGAGGTCTGAGGAAGCAGTCTGTTGATGGGTGGTCCAGACCAGACGTCTAACCCACGTCAGGACCCGGGAGCGCCGGTCAGTCCCTCACACAGGTCACACCAGCTCACTGTGCAGACGGGCGGTGTGGCCTCGTGGGGACTGCACACCCCGGTGAGGCACCACGCTTTACCTTGCAGGAAGTCTTCTCTCCCAGGGATGGAGGCAGCGTGACCCGGTGGGCAGCACACAGGCCCAGAGTCAGGGGCTCTCTCTAAGCTCTAATCCTGGTCCTCCCCAGCTGTGACTATGGCGAAGTCACTTAATTTCTCTGTGCCTCGATTTCTCCATCTGCAAAATATGAACAACAGTGTAAAGCACCCAACGGCTGCACTGCACATCAGGAAGTAGCAATCAAACACAGAACAGGCCTCTGCAGGGACAGCAGGGGCCGGGGTTTCCTCCAGGACCAGTCTCCTTGCCTATCCATGGGCAGAAGTTCCCTTTGAGCATGAGTCTCCTGGACTTGGGGCTGCTCTTTGCTCTAAGGGTCTCCCCAGGACATGCTCAGGTGGTCCTGTCTGGACCAAGCGCCGCTGGGAAGGCCTATCCCTGACAGCTAAGTCCGCTGTGCCATGTGAGATGTTCTGCTCTGCCGGAGAGCATGCTAGGCTGGTCTCGCCAAGTCTGCAGAGCTAGAAGAGCTCAAGAACACCCTCTTCCTAGCCACTGTCATGTGCCATCAACTAAACTTCCTGCTAATGGTGTGAAAGAAGAAATGGGCACAGAGAGGCAGAGTCTGCTCAGAGCTGCCGCAGGCAGAGGTAGCACCATGACTGACACTAGCTTGCTGGCTGGCAAATCTAGGACTCCTCCCCCTGCTGTGCGTCCTGTGCAAACACCCCAGCAAGGACACCTGGAGGGCTGAGAAAGAAGGTGAGGAGTTTGAGTCTTATGGTCCAGGATGAGCTTTTGGGTGGTGGCACTGCATGCGCCCACCGAACAACTCCCGTGGATATTTATTCCAAGGGGCTCATTCATTCAACAGGACCCAGTGCTTCCTGTGCATGTGACTCACTGTACCGAAACCCCTCTAGGATGTTCTAAACTGTACAGGTCAAGTGCACCGAGAGTCTGGCAATGCTCAGAGATGATGCACTCAGGGGCTCGCAAAGTAACATCGACGTTGCAGTCGACCAGTGTCACAGACCACCAGCACAACACTGACGTTATCACATCGACGTTCTCTGTAACTCCTGAGCAACAGGCGGCGAGACAGCAAATGAAGTAGAAACAGCACCGTCAGGGTCCTTTTCCTCAGGGCTCAGCAGCCCATCCTGTTCTTGGAGACCAGGTCCTGTCTACCTCAGCCTCAGGGCTGTCCGTCAGCAGAGCGCTGGGCGCTGGCGGCGGGGGCGCTCGGCCTGCACTGCTTCAGTGGAATTGGCTTGGTGGTCTTTTTGACTGTCAGTCACGGTGCCTCTGCAGCAGCCCCGTTTCAGCTCACGCAAGTACCCTGTGACAATTTGGAGGCAAGCTGCTCCCATTCTAGCTCCACTGAAGTTCTCAAAATAGGGACAATATTCCCGAGAAGGGCGAGAGTCCAGCTGGCCAGGCAGGCTCATGAAATGCTGTGGCTTCTGCAGAGCATCTATCTCCATGGCACCGCACAAAGGCACCTCTTGTCCTGAGGCTCACGTCTGAGGTCAGAGGAATTGTTCCTGCACAGACAACTTGGGTGCCAAGTGTCCACTACAGAAGCCCCACTGCGCGTTTCACAGGGCAGCACAAGTCTGACAGCCAGCACAGTGCCTCCCAACTCATGTCACTCATACCCCCTTGGCAGGGTGTGCATGTTCTCCCCAGCAGTCAGGAAGACTTGAGCACCTACTGGCAAGTGGGGATGCAATGCCTTGATGACAACCCATCCTCCAAGCACCTTTCGTGGAGCTCTGCAGGCAGGACCCTGACAAACAGGGACTCGCCCGCATGCAGCCTGTGCACTGGGCACACACAAAAACCACCCTTTGCCGCGGACGGAGCCCCAGGGCAGCAAGTGACTAAAATGGGATGAGAGCGCAGCAAGCTCCAGGTCCCGAGACTCAAGCGGAAGGAGCTAGAGGTTGGCTCTGGGTGTGAGAAGGTTCTGGTTTCCTGTCCCCTCCACCTGCTCCTGCGTCAAGGAGAGCAGGTCTCTGCTGTCAGCAGTATGATAGGAAGGACACCTGTGCTCCATCTTATTCCTGTCTGTATCATACACACTGCCAGAGCCCAGAGCCCAGGAAGGCTGAGAAGGAACAGGGAGAGCATGCCTGAAGGGCAAAGGGAACCAGCGGGCAGAGCGGTGGACGGCGTAGTGAGAGAGAACTGGAACCCAAGGAGCTGAGGGCAGGAGGTGCTGCCACAGAAGGATCTGGCAGGAGGGAAAAAGAGTGGCCAGAGTGTGAGGTCAGGTTGGCCGGCCCCAAGGAGGAGAGGTTCCAGGGTCCTGGACACCTGGGTGGGGAACGTGGACTTCTGCTCTCATGTGCAAAGGCCCAGTGAGTACTTCGGAGCAGGGCACTCTTCCAGCCAATGTCACATCTGTAGCAGGGAGCTGACCCTAACTGAAGAGGCAGGCTCTCTAGGGGGCTGGCACTTGCATGCTGAGGGAACAGGAAAGGACAGGGTCCTGGTGCGTGCAGGGTCATCATCACACCCATGTGGATTTCATCCAGGGCGCAGGTCTTAAGACACTGCAATGCTAACAGGTGGATGTAAAGGCCTCATCCACCCACAACCTTGAAGAGTGTCCCTGCTTCTGGAGACTGAATGCAGGGCTGATCACAGCGACAGGGAGGCAGACGCAGGCAGCCCTTGGGAGGCTTAGGAAGTCTCACGTTCATTCATCCGGACATACAGGAGCCCACACACTCAGAGGGCGGCTGCTGTCCTGTGCTTTAAACCTCAGGAGCCACAGCAGAAGTGATTGTCAGCAGTCAGCAGGGCAACCTGGGGACACTCCTCCACCTTGGGCCTGCACCTTCTTGACTGCAGACGGGCCACAGCAGGGCCTCCTCGGCACCACCCGGCAGAGCTCCTGCCTGGGAGCTAGAACAGAGAGTGCACAGAGCGTCGCACGGCGGCCCTGCTCCCTGCACCTGCAGGAGGCTCATCACTGCCCAGCTGCCACATCATTCAGAGAAAGGAACCCAGAAGGTTGAACGAAGAAGAGTGAGGGGAAGGAGGGAGGGCCGTCCCACTGGACAGGCCTGCTGCGCTCTGGGTCCCAGGCCAGGTCTTCCTCCCACAGCCCTGAGTGGTGCCATCTCAGCCTGTCTTCCAGACAATACCTGACCAGACCAGGTGAGAAGCAGCAAGCAGCCTGCCCAGGATCCCAGAGCAGGTGAGACCAGCCTCTGGGGCTTGGGACGAGGGAGCCCCCAGCACTGTGCTCTGGAGCTCAGATGGAACCCAGAGCAGGTGAGGCCAGCCTTGGGGGCTTAGGACGAGGGAGCCCCCAGCACTGCACTCTGGAGCTCAGACGGATGCCAGAGCACGGCCTGCTTTCCTAAACAGCGCCATGTGGGCGACTCCTCGGAGATCAAGGGCTCTGCAGAAATCAGTGGGGACCCACTGCAGCTCTCTGCAGCTGCGGAAGGGTAAGACACCTTCCAGGGGCACTGGGAAACACCTGCTGGCAGACTTACAAGACAACGACAGGAAAAGCAGCATTATGATTCAAGAGGGAGAGGCTGGCCTGCTGGCTAAGTAAAGCAAAGCAATGATGTAGACTGCACACACGTACATACACGTGATAGGGATGTGACACGAAAGCACCTCAAACAGACCACTACATGCCTCCAGTGTCTGCGCGGGCCTGCAAGTCTCAACCACGGCTCTGCCACGTGTCGGCCAGCACACATCCAATTAAAGTGGACCCTAACTTTCTCCATGTGGGTCCCACTATGCAGACGGTAGTGAGAAAGCATCTACCTGCTTCAACCACATTTCAAAGAAGTTGACATTAAGACTGTCTAATAATTGAGTCCAAGGGCCCATCAACAGCTGTGCCTCCTTCCCCTCCAGGCAGCCGAGTGGAGGCCGGTCACCGGGGGCTTTTGCCGAGCCCTGTCATAGGTGAGAGGACAGCATGGGCTCCCAGGCCTCAGCACTGACTCACCTTCTCCTTGCCCAGGTGAGGGCGTGGCTTGCTGAGCACAACTGACACAGAACCTGCCCACTCACCACCCCCTCAGCCTGGCAGCAATGGTTTAGGAGAGTGGAAATGGAAAACAACATAATACCCAACAGCACAGGAGGCTACGTGATTTATATACATCCACTTCCCGAAGCCACGGATGGGAAGGCCCTTCAGTTTTGTCCAGTGGACTTGAGTTCCGGCTTCTTCAGCACCCACCAGTCTGTCTGAGTCCCAGGCTCCCTTTGTAACGTGGGGATAGCAATCTCTCCCATGTTGGTTGTTGGGTGTGCTACATGAGGGGTACATGGGATGCCAGCACATAAGCACCGTCAGTCCAGATAACAGAAGTAATTATGAAGACTCAGCAATGTTTTAAGTGTCTATGATGAAATTTTGAAACAAATATTAGACTGCAAAATTTTAAGTATAATATGCTTATAACCAAAAACCACTGTGGACACAAATACATCTGAGCGAGGAGGAGATACACACACTGACCATGCCCGTGACATGGGGGGGAGGGCACACACGGCCTCTGCACAGCATTCTTAACCTATCGATGGGATCGACAACACTATTCTTCTTGAGATGACCCCCAAACTGAATACATATTCTAACACTCACTTCTCAGTACAAAGGCAGACATCATTAACTGCTGACTATCTTAAATGATAGTAATTTAATGATGATATTGGAGATTTTTGCTTTGCTCTATTCAACTTACCAATGATGAAGCCTTAATTTTGGCAGGGGACAAAAACTAGACCTAAGCCAGTGCCTACTCATGTTGAGACCACCGGTCTAGGAGAGGGAGAGCCCGCTTCACTTCAGCACAGGGGTCCCTGGGCAGGATGCAGCTCCAACTTCACGTACAGGAGAAGCTCCAGCACTGCGGGTCAGGCTGAGTCTCTGCTGTACGCCCCTCACTACAAGTGCATGTTGTAAAACAATGCAAAGTTAGTTTGTCCCGTGCACCCTTAGAAGAAGGGATGAGGCCAGCGCATGAAATCTTCCCAGAGCCTGGGCAGCATCACTGCCCAAGGCCCTGAAGGATGAACCCTCCCGTCCACCTGGTGTTTGATGTGATGGCCCCATCCCCATGAGGAGCCTGTGGTCCTTAAGGTTGGATGGAGGCTTGCAGGGTCTTCTGCTGTCTGCGTTTGGTTTG